CAGTGGCTGTAAGGAGAGAAGTAAGCTACAGGACACACAGTGAGCACTGGGTGCCTATAATCCCAGGAGTCAGGATTCTGAGGCAGGAGAATGGTTGAGTTCAAGGTCAGCCTGTACTGTCTACAAAACCCCCAAACAAAACAAAAACCAAGAAGCAAGACATAATGGAAACTTTAAACTTTATATTAGTCCTGCATAAGTGTTGGCTATTATTTACGAACTAGAGTTATTGATTTAGTAGCTATGGAAACAGCTCAGCTGAAAATACACTTTCTGTGTAAGCATGAGGACTGAATTTGATACATTAAAAGGGAGGAGGGAGGATGGAGAGATGGCTCCGTGGTTAATAGTACTTGTTGCTCTGGCAGAGGACCTGGGCTTGATTTCTATTATCACATGCTGGTACTCAATCATTCATAACTCCAGGGGATCTGATGTCCTTTTCTGGCCTTGCTGAGAGCCAGACATGCATGTGGTACATATACACACATACAGACAAAATACTTACAGATATAAAAGTAAGTATTTTTTAAAGTTTAAATTAATTTATATTTTGGTTAGTTGGGACAAGGTTTTTCTGTGTAGTCCAGGCTGTCCTGAAATTCCCTCAGTAGATCAGGTTATCCTGGAACTCAGAAACCCTCTTGCCTCTGCCTCCTGAGTGCTGGAATAAAGGTGTAGGCTATTACACCCAGCTTAAAAGTAAATAAATCTTACCAAGAAGAAGAGTAGGGCATATGGTGCTCTTGTAATCCTAGTGGATGTGAAGACAGGGCTCTGGAATTTAAGCTAGCTAGCTAGACTGGCCAAATCAGTGAGTTCTGGGTTTAAGTAAGACAGACTGTCTCAGTACCTAAGGTGTGGAGTAATGAGGACGGCAACCAATGTCAGACTGTCTTCCCACATTTTTCACACTCATCCCTTCTGCCCCCGACCCCATACATACCATACCACACACAGAGAAACTGATTTAAAGATAATACTTAAGATTATAACAAAAAAACGTAGAAACTTCTGTGAAGTATTCTTTGAACCTGTCTCTGGGCATGCATGCATGGAGGCTAGGCCAGAGAGCCACAACGGGCCTGTATCATGTTAGTATTGTATGTGGGGGAGACGGAGACGACAGATGCCTGCTGCTTTCAGAGGACCCAAGTCTGGGAAGTAATCACACAGGGTGGCTCACAGCTGCCTATAACTCCAGCTATACGAGACCTGGTGTCCTCTTCTGGCCTCTGTACTCATACACACGTGGCATATACACATAAATACAAATATCAAGTGTTGTGTTCTGAGTGGGTGTTATGTTTGGTTAGCAGAGAGAGAAAAGAAAAAAGCAGAACACAAATGTGTGTGCTGGATGATGTCAGAAATTAGAACATGAGAAAAACAGAGACTCATTTAAGAGAAAAATATACAAAGAAACAGCCTAGGAGAGAAAACTAGAACTAACTGAAATACTGTCCCAGGATGCAGAGGCACCACACTGGAATCCAGGCAAGGAATCTGACTTGTTCCCTGTGCATGTCTACCTGGTGATGTGCCACCTGCAGTTTCCTGTTTGAAAAACAGTGCTCAGGGCCTGGCTTGAAGAAGAAACTGCTCATGGTCAAAGTGCCCCCTTGTGGTGTTTTCAGAATTAATGTTATTTTACTTTTAAGATTGTGTGTATGTTTGTGTGTGTGTGCACATGAACTCAAGCTCCGGTGGATCCTGGAGGCAACAGATTTCCTGGAGTTGGAGTTGCAGGTGTTGTGAGAAGCTTATCCTGGGTGCTGGGAACTGAACCAGGTCTTCTGCAGGAGCAGCATGTGCTCTAAGCCCGAGTCATGTCTCTAGCCCATATTTCCTATACCTCTTGTTTAAACAACAGATACCCAGGGCTTACCAGCAAAGCCATTTGCTGTCAGACACACTCCTCCAGTTCTTCCTCATAGGTCACCTGTAACCAGCCACTTGGAGACTTACAAGATTTTGTTAGATTGGGGGGATGGAGAGATGGAGGGAAGGAGCAGTAGCCTAGGCTACATGCGATGTTGCTTCAAAGTATCTTGCCAGGGAAGTCCTGAAGAAGCCATTGGATCACCTGGAGCTGGGGTCATAGCAAATTATGGGTTTCCCTGAGAACCAAATTCCAGTCCCCTGGAAGAGCGGTAAGGGACCTCAACTGCTGAGCCATCACTCCAGCCTCCTACTTGGGGTCTGGTTGCTTTGTGTAGAAAAGCCCAGTGATGGGCGGGAGGATGCTGCATATCTGAACTGGACTGATACATGGATCTGTCGTCTCCCTTGCAGCAAGTCAGTGTGTTTGGTCTCATTTTACAGTTTTATAGACAGTGAGTTTATCTATATGCTCAGGGAATACACTACAATACTCCAGCAAGAAGTTCACAGATTGTTGGTATGTGTGTGAAATTCCTGTGACATCAACTCAGTCAGTCAGGCCTGTGCAGTAAGCACTCTTACCTTCAGCTAACTCCACAGCTATGAAGCTGTTACAGAGCAGCAGAAATTCTTTCCAGACTCTACTACACAGAAAATGGGGCCAACCGTAGTGGTTCACACCATTAATGGTAGTGGTGCATGCCTTTAACCCCAGCTCTTAGAAGGTGGCCAGCATGGTGTCCAGAGTGAGTTTTAAGACAGCTGGAATTACATAAAGACTCTCGAGAAAAAAAAAAAAAAGGGAAAAAGACATTAAGATCACCCAAGAGTGTTCAAATTCCTGCATAGCTGGAAGAGATAAATCCACTTCATCAATGTGTTGATGCAGCAGATAGATTATGTTAGAGACTAGCAGCATCCAATACCAAGTAGTCTCTTCCTCAATAACAGAAGCATAAAATATGAATCTGGTCAACAGGGACCTGGAGTAATCTGGTTAACAGGGACCTGGTGTCACTACCACCCCACTCTTTATAGCTGATGGGACCAAGCAACTTTCGCAAGTTAAGTCTCCAAAGGAATGTCTCTAAACATTCTCTGGGAAATGCTTTTTCTAAGTGGCTCAGGTGCTGATAGGAATTGTGAAGTGAAAGCCATCTGTCTTCAACCAGGAACCAACACAGAAGACTCCTCACTGCTGTACTGTATACTAGATCTAGGCTGTATCCCAACCATTTGTGAGTATGCATTAGGTTTGTGTGGGTATGCGTGTATGTAAGCCAGAGACTAACACAGGTGGCCTCTTAGACAACTCTTCATACCTTTATAAAGGCAGGGTCTCTCTGAACCTGTAATTCAACAATTTGACTAGACTGGTTGCCAGCAAGCCTCAGGAATATTTCTGCCTACCCAGTAGAGGGATTACATGTTCACACTAACACACATAGTTTTTTTTAAATGTGGTATTTAGTTATCTACTACATTTTAAGGATTGAGCTATCTCTCCCAGATTTATTTTTAAATAATTAAAAACATTATTTATTTACTTTACAACCTAATACCAGCCCCTCCTCTCCTAGTACCAATTCCATGCAACAGCCCCCCCCCCCAATTTCACTCTGACATACACACTAACTTTCAGAGATCTGCCTGTCTCTGCCTCCTGAATGCTGGGATTAAAGAAGTATACAACTGTGCCCAGCTGCACATGCTCATTCTCAGAGGTTTTTAACTTCAAATACTTGATTTGTTGGTGGCAAAGCCTGGTCCTAACGAAAGGAAAAATAAAACCCATGAACCAAAGGCGTGTTATCTTATTAGACTACAACATGAAAGGACAAAGTCCCTTCCCACAGAGAATGTAACAAACAATTTAAACAAAACAAAAATGGTTGTTTTATTTACAACACTCAGTGCATCTTACACATGACATATTTTCATTCCCCAAGTCTTATGAAAGCAATTCCAATTCCAGTTTGTGCAATGAGTTTACAGAAAAACTTTAAAATAGCCATTAGACCTTAAACTTAAATCCTAAATTTTGATTATTTCACACTACATTAATAGAGGACTGCTTTTAATTAAGAAAAACTAAACTCTGCAATTAATTACTACCCTCTGGGATCTTTAAGTCAAATACAAACTGGATTAGCCTATAAAATAACACCATTAGATCTGGATAAATTATTCCAACCTCCCTCCCCAATAAAATGCATGCACAAATTAAACATGGTAAATTACATTAATGATATTTTATTTCAACTTTCTTTTTGGACTCTCTCAACTGTTTGTTTCTCAATTTAGGGTAAAATATAGGGACAATGCAGTTGGAGAACTTTGACATGCCGACTCCCTGCTCCACAACAGAAAGGCTTTTCAGAGAGCCTATTTTCAGGGAGACAGGTGGCATCGGGGCCCTCATTCTAGCCAGCACAGAACAGTAGGCCTTCTATATTGTCACTTTCCAATCACCATTACCTAGACTTCAGTTTTCTGAGTTGATGACAAAAACCAGTTCCTCTGTTCAGTGATAAGAAATCACTGCCCTGCCACACAAAGATCTACACAGAGGCAGAGAGCAGTCAACCATTTTAAGAGGACTGGATTAATTTTCACTCATATACCTGCCTCCTTCTACCAAAAAAAAAAAAAAAAAAAAAAAAAGGCCTGGCTCCTCGTAAGCCAGCGAGAAGGCAGGTACAGAGACCACTTCCACACTGACCCACCCACCTACCCAGTGTGTCACTGTGCTTCCACTCCCATGATACATTTCTCTCGAAAAAGATGGTATTCTTGCTACCCGGTGTAGATGCCACCTCCTACAAGTGATTGCATTGGGAGACATTGAACGGAAAAATAAAGTTTCTTATTTGACCTAGCCCAGAGAATGATAAGGAAAAGGAAGAGTGAGGTAGAGTTGAGAGAGTTCCATTAAACGTGTGAGCACTGACCTTTTGGCACACTCTGTAATTATAGACTCCCTATCAACTTCTCCTTGAGATACAGCGTGGCATCCCCTGAGGGAACATAAAGCTCACAGCAGCCACCTGAAGGCTCCATTCCTGGCACATCAGCTATTATTCACCCCAATAGTGAAGCAAATAAAAACAATGCTATCCATTTCTGAATTTATTAAGCAAGTAAATTAATTTAGAAATCCCATTCAATCAAACAAAACTTCTGACAACATGTAAACATACTGCCATGTTCCTGAAACAGATGTTAACACCCAATAAAAAAGTTGTTAATTACTTCTGAAGAAAGCTGTCCATTAATAAGGCCAGTCTTCAACAGAAAGAAAACCATTTTACATCTTGTAGCTTTCCTGGTTGACAATACTATTAAACTACAGTCAAATATAAGGACAGTATTTAATGGATAGATCAGTACCATTGGTTATAGCTTTTAAACAGGTTCATTCCTGGCGCCACAGGAAAACAAGCCACTCACATCAATAAATCATGGCTTTTTAAAAATCACAATTCACTAAAGTGATGTTAATTATGGTCCTTGTCAAACACGTTTGGTAAAGGCTATTTACAGTGTACATGGCCAAGCATGCACTATTAACAGTTACAGAGAGGCCTGCCACTTTCCTAGGGATCACACAGTGCCTGAAAATGGTGACAGAGCATACGTCATTTAAATCAACACAGTTTCAAGCAGAAAATGTTCCTTTTCTTTTTCTGACCACAATTGCAATAGATACATGAAAATTCTTATAAAAACATGAATCCCCTTCAAGAAATTGATGCATATTCTACGCACTACAGGAGGTTAAGGCAGTAAAAAAATGTATTCCTGATAACCGGAGGTCTTCACCATGTCAATTAAAGCTGTCTGACTACTTTTCCATTCTCCGTCATATGCTCAAAAATTGTGAATTACTTCATTTTTAAGGTAAAAAAATTACTAGCAACTAAGAGTTGACACTGGAAAAATTGCTAGGGAAAGGAGAAATATTAAGTTGGATTTTGCCTGAAGAGTTTTCAAATCATAAACAAGAGCATTGTTAGTCTCAGTCTTAATGTATCAAACAAATAATATATTCACTTTTCTTAATTTAAAATATACTGTTACTTTGAATAATTCAAGTAATGTAAGATTATCAAAAATAACTTTGTAAGCCATACAAGTGTCTGTCAATTGCATTTTCAATGTTTTAATTTAGAACTTTTAAAGAACTGTAAACTAAACCAAGACAGTTTAGTTAAATAAATGATAAATGACTTTTTATTTGCACTTGTGATTCTTTTAATACAAATTGCTACAACAAATACGTAAAGATATGGCAGATTATGCATTTGATCAAAGCACTTTGATTTAAGCATAAAACAGATTCAAATGGTCTACGGTTGTGCATAAGACCCAAGGACCTGCCGACTGGCTTCTAGGCAGCCTTCTCTCTAATCAGAATCCATCATCCTCAGCTGCAGATGAGACAGGGCACAATCTGTCGTAAACAGGGAACTGTTGTAAAACCAGGATAATATTCTTAAATTATGATTATTCTCGTTCAATTGAAAAGACTCTCCCAAGTGTCTTCCAGCACTGTAGTAGGTATTCTGTTGACCTCTTAATTTCATAAATTAACTTTCCTTTGATTCCATTTTATGGTGGTTGTGTTCAGTTTTGTTTTAAAAATTGGTTTAAATTTATATAAAACTCTGTACATGTTCACAAATTATTGCATAAACAGCATAATCTTCAAGACAGTGTTTGTAAACACATGTCCAACTCAGGAAAAAAAAATTCACGTTTCCCGTCTGGCTTTTTTCTTCTTTTTTATTTGTTTTGGAGATTCCCAGTTAGTTTCAGACTTGGCTAAAAGGGAAAAAAAGGGGGAGGAGGTAAGGAGAGAAAAATGTACGGAGTATAATCAGTGCATACCAACAATATAAAAGTAACAACTATAACACCAGGTGGTGATGCATGCCTTTAATCCCCATACTTGGGAGGCAAAATAGATCAACTGAGGGCCAGCCTGGTCCATCAACCAAGTTCCAGGACAGACAAGGCTACAAAGAGAGATCCTGTCTCAAAACAACAGCAAAACAAAAAACAAAACACACATTTCCCCCTCCCCCAAACATAACAACAATGAAAACAACAATGTTCACACTTTATTGTTTAAGTCTTCCAAGTCTTGAATATTTTCAAGTTAGCTATTTTCTGCATCCCTTCTTTTCCAACCCAGGGTATTAACTAACTGCTGATGGCCAACTGGTGGAAACCTACAGAATCTGTTTTTTCTGTTTCTCTATCCTGCCTCGTTTTGAGAGGAGACACCATTATGCTGGCCCCTTGGGATAGACATGTGCTGAAGGTGGGAAAGGAGTAACACAAAGAAAGCCCAAGGGACACGTGCAAAGAGCCAATCAAGTAGGCACGCCAAGCTGGCCCTCACAACCCAAGCCTGTGAAGTTTCAAGGAACCACACATTTTTAGAAGGCAGTGTTGCTAAGATCTTACACAATGTAAGAAAAAAATGCAAGACAAACAAAGTACTTACTCTGTGAGGGAGGCACACTGTTTTGCTTAGCATTTGACTTGGGCTTGTCTGTGTCTTGTAATATCGGTGGCACTTGGGAAGAGCTCTTGTCAGAGTCGCCTTTTGATAAGGTAACAGATGGATCGGCAGAGATAGCAGGTGGAAGAGTCTTGCTAGGCTATTTTGGATAAAATTGTCTCAAAATTTTGTATAAATTTCATATAAGCAGTAAAGCAATATCCAGAGACTAGCAGCAAGCAAAACTAAAATGGCTTCTAATTAATTTATATGTAGCAGTGTAATCCATTTCTGCCCTCTAGAGACACAACTACACAAAACATCTTCTATAGCATCTATGAATACAGTCCGAGATAAAACAGACTGAGTTCCAGGACAGCCACTGCTTAAACATATACAGGTTAAAATTATGAAAATCTGATTTCAAGGGGGAAGCTGTTTAAAAAAATAATCTCTATCAACTTGGGCTACCTGGTAGAATGAGTAAGGGCACACATTCCATAGTGGGCTATCCAGTTAGTTTGGTTACTATGTTGCCTATATTGAAAAAAAGTTAAAATAGCTACTGAATCTCAAGTAAGAAGGAATAATTCTACTTTTTCATTTACTTGATTCATCAGAAAAGTTTAATCAATGTCTACCAGATTTGAATTTATCAAAACTGTTAAAAGACAAACATATTTATCTATTTAGTTTTTCCCCCCACTTTTTCTTTTGAGACTTTCAGTCTATTAGCCCAGCTGGCCTAGGCTGGCTTTGAACTTATGACATCCTTCTTGCTGATACATCCTAACCAAGCGTGTACATCCCACAAACAGACTATGGGAATGGTCCTACTGATTGAATTGGCCTGTCTAGATCTCCAAATATGGAGTCTAATAATGAAAATAAAAAAGTTTAGGGTAGTGACTAGTCAGGGCAGTATTAAGAATGCTTATTTGGAATGTCTTGGGGCTGTGAGAGGATCTTTTCACTGGCCAGCTTTACCTCCACTGTCACTCAGAACACAATAAGGGGAAGTTGTGTTTCTCTTGCTCCTACTCTTCCTGGCTCCATAGACCCAAGAGAAGTGATGTGAGCGAGCCCAGCACCCTCTTCTTCTTTAGAGGAACTGAGTTGACCTTCAGGTTGCTCTGTAGATTACCTCAGAGCAGCAGCTTTATTACATCTCATCTTCTCTCCCTTCTATTTTCTTCACTTTACTTACATCAAGCCATAGAAAGGCTCAACTGCATTTTTATAAGATGATCTCAAGCATAATTAGATAAAACACTAGAATGTAGTCAAACTATTCTTTGCAATAATAATAATCACCTTTTTACCTCAGAATACTTTTAGGGGTTTAAATGCATCAAATCTATGTGTGAAGTATGACTACCACTGTTTTAGAACAATACTGCCACTGTTCCTTCTTTCAGCAGCAGTGTTTGTCAAAGCCAGTCTACTAACAGTCAAGATTTCCTCAGACAGAGATTTCCTTTGGCTTGTCCACTGCTGTAACCTAGTTCCTCAAAGAGCAGGTGGCGCATAAACCTCAAAAATAATTTCTGAATGTGTGAGTCAGGCAATTCAGTAGAAATGTTATTTTATTTAAATCTTTAAGACTTATTTTATGTGTGTTTTCCCTACAAATATTTATGTGTTTCATGTGCTTGTTACCCAGTTGAGTTACACACAGTTGTGAGCTACCATGTGGATGCTGGGAAACAAACCCTGGTCTGCAAGAGCAAAAGGCCTTCCCAACCACTGAGCCAGCTTTCTACCTCCCTTATTTTAATAAGGCTCAGTGTATTAGTAACTATCCTATTTTTGTTTAAAGACACCATGACCAAGGCAGCTCTTAATAAAAGAAGGCATTTAACTGGGAGCTTGCTCACAGTGTCCAAGTCAGGAGTCGTGGTGGGGAGCATGGTGGCAAGGACGGCATCAGAGCAGTAGTTGAGACCTACATCCTGATCTACATACAGAGACTGCATCTAGCATGGCATTTGAAACCTCAAAGCCCATCTCTAATGACACGCTTCCTCTAACAAGGCCACAATCCTTCTAATCCTTCAAATAGTTTTATTCTCTCATGACTAAAACATTCAAATCTATGAGCCTTTGGGGGGGCTTATTCAAACTACCACATGCAGGTTACCCAATCAGAAACCAAGTTTTTATTTCATGTCACATTTCATAAATTAGTCTCTTCTGATTCATAAATATTTCCATAGAAGGCATGTGATTAAAAAAAAAATGTCACTGTCAGGTATAAAGGTACATGTCTAAAATCCCAGCAATTGGGATGCGGAAACAGGAGGTTCAGGAATTTATGCCAGCTTTGGCTAGACAGTGAGTTTAAGGTCAGCCAGAGCTATATGAAACCCTGTCTCAAACAATAACAAAGCAAAACCAAACCAAAACAAAACAAAAACAAAAAAAACCAAAAAAAAAAAAAAAGCAGAAAAGAAAAAAAAAACCCTAAAAAAATTATGAAAAATTTAAACAAATGTTATATTTTGGGAAACTGATCACATTAAGATATATACTTTGGGTCAATGTGGCTGGTAGAAGCACTTCCTCTTTGGTCCTCTATTCTTTAGGAGAAAACATAATATGGAGATCCCCTTTAGCACTGGGGAAATCTGCTTCATGATGGGCAGTGGGTGCTTGAAACTGCAGGTAGTATCTGGAACTTGTTTTGTAGACCAGGCTGTCTTTAAACTCAAGAGATCCACCTGCCTCTGCCTCCTGAGTGCTGGGATTAAAAGGTGTGTGCCACCATGCCTGGCTTGTTCTATATTTCTCTTCAGGTTTTCTTTGTGATCATTTCATATGTTTAGCATAGTAAATAAAATATTGATTATTGTATAATTATTAAGGAAACAAAACTTTACTACTCTTTAAAAGTTACCTGGCTATTTTTGATAAGTACTTCAACTGGATCACTAGCGCTCAGGGTCTTCAGGGAACAAGCTTTCTCCTGTTTTGGACGGGCTTTCGAGGTATTCACTGGAAGCTCTTCTCTAGTGTCCTTTTCTAGGTCTTCTGTGTCCTGCAGAAGAAAGCTGTTTATTATATTAAACTTCTTGATGACTATAACAATTGATTATAACAGTAATTCTTTATTGCTTAAAATCTACTTTGTTTATGTTCCTGAAGACACCCTAAGTTGTCTTCACTTAAAAAGGTGTCCAAGAGCTGGGCGGTGGTGGCGCACGCCTTTAATCCCAGCACTTGGGAGGCAGAGGCAGGTGGATTTCTGAGTTCGAGGCCAGCCTGGTCTACAGAGTGAGTTCCAGGATGGCCAGGGCTACACAGAGAAACCCTGTCTCAAACAAAACAAAACAAAAAACAAAACAAAAAAAGGTGTCCAAGCCAGGTAGACTGCTACAAGTTCAAGGCTAGCTTGTGCCACAGAATGAAAACTTGTCTCAAATTCTGCCCATTTAAATTACATATACTAACACACATCCCAGAATGGGAACCTCTGTGGTCAAGAGACCAACTCAAAGAGAATAAACTTAGTATTTATTTATTTATTTATTTATTTATTTATTTATTTATGTTTTTTCGAGACAGGGTTTCTCTGTATAGTCCTGGCTGTCCTGGAACTCACTCTGTAGACCAGGCTGGCCTCTAACTCAGAAATCCGCCTGCCTCTGCCTCCCAAGTGCTGGGACTAAAGGCGTGCGCCACCACTGCCCGGCATATAAACTTAGTATTTAATTTACAAGAGAAAACAAGACTTAGAAAACAACATTTCATTTGGTGACTTCGAGTAATATGTTTGTATATACAAATTATAAAGGGTATATAGAGAACTTCAATCACTTATAACATGACTTAAGCCATTTGTCTTGGTTTCTTTGTGCCTTTACTTCCTTAGCTGTAAGTTTGCACAGGAAATTTCCAAGGTCCCAGCTAAGTTTTAATGTATTCCATGTTCACTATTTGTATTTTTAAAAGTTTAACAAATTATCCCAAGTCACATTACACACTTACACATATAATGAACACACAGAATATACTGCATGTCAACGCATGGGAATGTTATATTCTAGTGACTATTCTAACAACTGCCCAAGATGACTGCAAAACTTTCCTTTCTGGGCAATGAGAGTACTTGCTATGAGGCCAACTTGAATCTGATCCCCAGCACCCACGAAGCAGAGTTGAACTGACTTCTCAGAAGCTGGCCTCTGACCTACACAAACATTCTGTGAAACACACACACACACACACACACACACACACACACACACACACACACGGCATTAAGAAAGCTTCCTTTCAATATTGCTATTCTATGAAATGTGAAAGACAGTAGTGAGTTTGAATAGCAACTAAAAATTCTGATGTGAATTTAAGTTCAGTGTGTAGTTTTTTTGTTTTTCCTCCTCTAGGCAGGGTCTCACAGCCTTGAACTCATAAAAACTGGGATTAAAGGTATGGACTACCAAATCTGCTAGCCACCTTTTAATTGTTCTGAGACTGTTGCTCACTGACCCTGAAGCTCATCAATTTAGTGAGCTTGGCTGGACAGTTTCAGGGATTCGCCTTTCACTCTACCCTTCCCTGCAGAGACTGTGATTACAGGCACACATCACCATGTCCAGTATTTTCTGTGGGTTCTAGAGATTCAAACACAGGTTTTTGTGTTTGTGTAGGAGGTCCTTCAACAAATGAGCCATCTCCCAACTTCCTATTTTCTTGATGAACTTAGCCATTTCATTTATGAAGAAATGGCCCTCTAGGAAGTCAGAGACTAGGGAGGGTTAGGGCTACAGGCAGAACTCAGGGCATGAAGAGTATATGGACCAGATTTCTTCAGGACCAAGGAGTCTAAAAATTCTACCCTGCATCCAAGGCTTCTGTTTTCTACTGTCTTGGAAGATCATATTAGTTTTATAAGTTCAGGAAACACTGAAACACTTGCACTTCACAATCAAATGGCTTGTGGAAAATGATGGAGCTATATTATCCTTGATCCCACAGTAGCTCAGAGTCCTACAGATGCTAAGTGACAGGTGGCTGATGGCAGCCTCCATCTTGGTAGACTACTTCTGAAGAATATGGAAAGTCATGGTTAGTTAACAGTATGGAAAGAGCCAAAAGGCTGGTTTGGAGGCAGGAAATAGGTACGATGTTCCTGGAGAATGTTAACACTAGAGAGGAGGATTAGAAGGCAGCTGGAGAGGAAAACGGAAGTGGACTCAGGTCTGTTCCATCTACATGATGATCGGAATATGTGTGACCTGGTGCTGCCTTTCCCACCTCGCCATTTTATGATAAAAAGTACACGTCCAACTTGATTTAGTTTTAAACGTATAAATACATTTTTTAGCGTAATATAAGTTTTATTAAAGTAATATAATGTAGCAATTCTCTAATGTCTAAAATTTCAAAAGTCCAACTTTTGTATTTTAAAAACTCACTGTAGAGGGCAGTGGCCAGGATCACCTGCTGTTTCTGTACTGGAATTGGGTTCGATTACCATCATCCACACGGTGGTTCGGGTGGTTCACAACCATCCATAACATCAGTTCCAGGGATCTGATGGATTCTTCTGACCTCTATGGGTACTAGGACTCTTGTGGTATACATACATACATACATACATACATACATACATACATACATACATGCAGGCCAAACACTCAAACACTTTTATAGACTGCTCCCATGCTCTTGTTTATCTCTACACACTCTTAGGGCCCATACATCATCTTTCCAAACCACCCACAGTGGGGGCACCATAACTAACGCTCATTGTTCAGGTACGTTACCTGCGTGAGAGAGTTAGCTTCACCTTGCTTCTTCTTTTTCTTTTTTTTCTTTTTAGATTTTCCAGTTGGAAGAGCTCCCTCTCCTTTTTCTTTATCATCATCTGAAACCTGTTAAAAGTAAAATACTGAAGTAAAACCAACTGGTTAAGCTTATATTACTTAGAACAATTGTGAAATAATTTCAGTCACCAAGTTTGCTCTTTAGCTTCAAAACTAAATAAGCTAATTAACAAAAATTTAACAAAAATTTAAAATCTCACTGGCTCTGGCCCTCACTAGCTTCAGCACTTGGGAGAACAGGACCTGCACCTCACCTGCGCAGTACAGTAGAGCTGCCCCCAACCTGAAGTGGGCTCTGGGAACTGGGGTGATGCCCTCCTGCTCCTTGTCCCCTGTAATGGTCAGGAGAGCTGGCCCTGCACCTCACCTGGGCAACACAGTGGAGCTGGCTCTGGAAGCATTGGTGTGGAAGAAAGTGGGAGAACGGACATTGCCTCCTGCAATGGGTAGGCTAGCTGGGCAAACCTGGAACACTCACCCTGGTGGTGCTAATGTGGGAGAGCCAGTAGGCTGACTACCTCAGCTACCATCCAGGCTCAGACCAAGGGCTTTGGGTTGGCCTACCCCAAAATCTACACCATCTGTGAACTATTGGAGCTCATGAAAGGGGAGATTCTGCTGATCCAAAGCTACAGGACTGCCACGACACAGGGAAACCGCAGGTTAAGTGGGAGGAGTCTTGATGAGGATCCAATATTGAGGATGTCACAGAAAGTTCAATGACCAGACCAATGATTCACTGCAATGAACATTTGCAAGTAGAAATGTGTGGACAGAGGAGACAGAAATTTATTTTATGTGTATAAATGGGTATTTTGCCTGTTTCTGCAGCAGCTGCTGTGTATGAGGTGTTGGATACCTTGGGACTGGAGTTACAGATGGTTGTAGGCCACCACGTGGGTGTTGGAAGTCAAATTCAGTCCTCTCTAAGAGCAACCAGTATTCTTAACCCTTGAGAAATCTTTGCAGACCCTAATACTAATCCCTTAACTACTAAACTTTATGAAATATGACTTTAAGTCCAGGATTCTTTTAGTCTTTTTGATACTGAGGACTGAACTCAGGGCCTTGTACATGCTCAGCACATATTCTTTTACAGAGCTATACCCTCAACAACCCTGACTCCAAAATTTGTAATGAAAATGCTCTAAATTACAAGGAAGTAAGTACAGTGACAATCTTTAGGCCTAATCACTGTTTCTTATGCTGTTCAATACCACCTCCTTCCTGAGACTGTGCCCTAGAATCCTCCTTAGTCTCTTTAACAAATAACTACCTTTTAATTCCTCGTACTTACCTTTTGATCATTAGAAATAGGTTCCTGGGACTTCAGAAGTGAAGCTCTATCTTCATCTACCCAGTTTCCCCACTCCTCTGCTGGTGCATTCCAGTCTGAGCTAGGATCAGCAGAAGACAAACCATCTAAAAGATAGTAATTTGAATTAGTTATCTGTCATTCTGCTAGAAACTAAAATCCAAATATTAAAAATTCTTTATATGGAATCAAGCTGTAATTTTAAACTATCCTTCTTTCCCCTGAGCATATTTTAACAGCTAGGAAAAAAAACGAAACATAGCAGTCTTTGTCTAAATGTTGCTAAGCACAAGATTTAGTCAAATTTTTAGACACACAAGACATACTTATTACTTATTACTATTACTCCCCTTTGTCAGTCTTCAAAATATTCACTTTTCCCTGTTTTTAACCTGGCCATATTTTTATAACCAATTATTTTTTAGGGTACAGAATTAGGCTTCATTTAGTAATATAAAATTATATATCCTCACAATATACTTGTTCCATCCTTTTCAATATCAGGCTCTTCAGCTTTACCAAATCATGACAGACTATGTAAGCTCTTTCTTTTTCCCTTTCTAATACTTGCAGTCTCCTAACAATTGAAATGATTCAAGTGCCTCTTATCAGATGACTCTAAAAGCATCTGAGTGTCACCTGCAGGGTTTTCATCACCCTTGTCTTTTTTTTTTTTCAAGACAGGGTTTCTCTGTATAGCCCTGGCTGTCCTGGCTGGCCTCGAACTCAGAAATCCGCCTGCCTCTGCCTCCCGAGTGCTGGGATTAAAGGCGTGTGCCACCACCACCCGGCCATCACCCTAGTCTTAAATATATGTTTATCCTAGCATTCTGAATTCCTGTCTTTCACATTTTACTTAGGAAACTCACTGGTGGATGCTAGAGGGGAGCACAAGCCTTTGCTCCTCTCTGGCTAAGTGTTTCCCAGAGTTAACTCTTCACGATCCCACTGCAAACCACTCACTCTCACATACATTCTCATGGAATCCACTCACAGTCAAGTTTTGTTTAAGATGACAGAGATTATACTTTACTTCCAAGTAGTCAATAAGTCTTCCTAGCATTGTTTAAATGAAAGAAGCCCAACAATTTCCTATCATTTCTTAATACTACTAATACCAAATACTAAGTGTTTTTCCCATATGCCTCTATTGCTTCTGGAATTTCTAGACCATTCCACTGATCTGTTCATAGGGTAATGCCAAACCTGACTGGACATACATTTTAGTAACAAGGAGGCACGTCTGCATGTTCTATGCTTACTGTTACTTTTTGCCATTTTAATTTTCCCAGGTAAACTTTCTGTTTACAGAAGAGATACTCATAGATCTTCACAAAAGCTTTAATACACATTTGAGAAAACCAAAGAATGATCTGAGAGAATGCTCACAGGAAAACAAACAAACAAAAACCAAAATCTTCTGCACAGTATGTTCCCAAACTTACGTGAGGAAGACACACGTTATTGTAAACATATCCTCTCAGGATTGCAAGTTCACCTCCTCAAGAAGATGTTCCTTAGTAAGCTCTAACTATGTAGTAGAGTCAGAGTTAAGTTGATCCAAAAGTTACTAGACGAGTGCAGAAGCCACTCTCACACGCAGCTACCAGTTTAACTACTCCGTGGAAATAAGTAAACATAAGAAAAGAATGACACACTTTACCACATGGGACTGTGAAAATAGAAGGGTGGAAGTCCAAAAATAAGCAGAGCTTATAGTCAAGAAAATGTGCAACAAGTGATTACAAGTGTGAAGTGTGCCACAAAAGGCAGTCTTTTCTTCCATCTCAAAAATTATCATTGTGTATCATGAGTGGATGAATATTCAGTAAGTACTTTGGAGTATAAATATAGAAGTTAAGAACATGGGCCTCATTGTCAAACAAATGTTCATTAATAACCCTTTATCACTTAATGTGATACAACTTTGCTTAATTTTTCTTCTTCTTTCTTTTCAAGACAGGGTTTCTCTGTGAAGTTCTAGCTGTCCTAGAACTCAGATATCTGCCTGCCTCTGCCTCCAAGTGCGCCACTAAGCCTGGTTTAGTAACCCCCCCCCCCACTTCCCGACTTATTTATTTTTAGGTGCATTGGTGTTTTGCTTGCATGTGTGTCTATGTGAAGATGCTAGTTCACTAGAACTGGAGTTAAAGACAGTTGTGAGCTGCCATGTGCTGGGAATTGAACCTGGGTCCTGTAGAAGAGCAACCTCTGCTCTTAATTGCTGGGCCATCTCTTTAGCCCCCTGGCTAAGTTTCTTAATCTTAAGGGACTTTATATCAACTTCATGGAATGCTAACAAGATGATATAAGATACACTTAAGCCAGTAGTTTATAGCAATATAATAAGCGTTCAAGAAATGGCGGCTACTGTTTTTACTATCCATGATGACACTTCTGAGAAATCTCTGTGAGATACATTTGTTTTTTGTTTTAAATGCTAGGGATTCAACCCAGGGGCCTTGCCCATTATAGCTACATCCCACTTCTGATATATTTGATAAGTATAGAAATGTAGAGTTGTTTTTATAAGCACAAATGGATCCAGTAGATATTTCGGAGCTGCTCATCTTATACCAAACATTTGTTACTAATATTGTTAGGGGACTTCAACTATCTGAGCTTCACTGCGAGATTTAAATCTCACTGATGAAAAACTCTGAAAACTTTATCCATTAGTCTTGTCTCTAAGACTGACTGCCAGAAAGGAAATTATAAGTATGCAGCACACTGCTAACATGTGGTCCATCTCCTCAATGAATACTACAGGGTGGATGGGAAGAAATAGAAATCTAGGTTAACACTTAGTGAATTACTTCTCAAAAGGCATAGATGGCTTTCAAATCTGGGAAACAACTGCACTCTTTGGCTCAGTTTCTGTAAAAACATTAACGGAAGTATAAATCTGTAATGACTATATAAAATCCTATGCTATTTTTTGTTTACTGAGCAAAGATTAATTTTTTATTAACTGGGATCAAACAAAAGCTACTTAAAAGTTTAATAACCCAAATCCAAATATTACCCAGAGATTTTCCAAGATTCACAGGTTCACTGTGCTAATAAACTATGTAGTTTTTGTAGTGATAGTATTAAACACTGGGCTTTGTGTGTGTTAAGCAAACACTCTACCAACGAGCTGTGTCCCCATCACTCATGAACTTCTTCAACAGTTTTCTTGAAATAAGCCATACTGTGTAGCCTACCCCACTTCCCACCCTCGGCTGTGTAACATCCCTGGCTGTCCTGGACCTTTCTCTGTAGACCAGCCTTAAACTCAAACCACTTCTGCTTCTGAGATTAAAGGCATGTCCCATCACTGCCTGGCTTCATAGTGTACTTTTATCCATTTATTAAGTAATTTCCCTACCGCAATTTTTTTTACGAGTCTTACCAATGTCTTTTAAAAGAGCTACAATGTGTGTGTGTGCGTGTGTGTGTGTACACACACACACACACACACGCACACTCACACTATATATATATGGGTAAGGAATTAATCTCCTCATTTAATCTTGAGGAATAGTGTTTTAGGTTCAAGTACAGCATTGCTAGCCTCAATCTGGGGAACAACTATTTTTACCAGAACTCCTGTAAGCAGTAAGTTTTATGATTTAGTAAAATACAGTTACATTTTAGTGTTTAAATATAGTATCAATACTCCACTGAATAGCCTTTTACACACTTGACCTTTCCTCTTGTCACCAAGTTCACTTGTCCTGCTGCTGCCCTATTCGCTCATAGCAGACCCCATGTTTCCAAGCTTTCATCACAGACTAGAGACCAGAAGCTCTCTAGGAACATTCCAGGCTTCTAGCACCAGATTGGAATTCTAGCACCAGTATTGAAATACCCTACTCTATGGACTAAGTGTTGCCCTACAATTAGAGGACTGTTGATTCTAACTTGTGGCGAGCTGATACTAAAACCAACCATAATACACTTGTATTTCATTCTATAAATTCAGGAGTAACAATGAGTATAATAACTCAGTGAGTTAAAAAAGACACACTAATGATATAAAAACATCAAAATAAAATTCAGAGAAAGTAAGTTAAAAAAGAAATTTGTGGATGCAGAAGACTGCCAATATGGCACAGAAAACATAAAGATGGTATTCTTGACATGTATTAAGTATAAAAATTTTCTTACAAGAGTTCTTGTTCAGGTTGCTTTTGAACTTGATACTGAATTGTAATCAAGATTTTGAATCCCTGATCCTTCTGTCTCTTCCTTCCAAGTGCTTCTACCTCCCAACTACTGGGATTTCACTCATTTACTAGACTTAGCTTTCTAAAAATATATTTATTTTTTTGAGTCAGACAGGATTTCTCTGTGTAGCCCTGGCTGTCCTGGAACTCACTCTATAGAACAGGCTGGCCTCGACGTTAGAGATCCACCTGCCTCTGCCTCCTGCGTGCTAGGATTAAGGGTGTGTACTACCACCACCCAAACATTTTTCTATATTTTTATTTTATGTGTATGAATGTGTGCCATGCCCATGGAGGCCAGAAGAGGGTTTCAGATCCCATGGAGCTGGATTTTTAGATAGTTGTGAGCCATTATGTGTGTGCTGGGACTGAACCCAAGTCTCCATTATGAGCAGCAAGTGTTCTTAGCCCCCAAGCTGCGTCTTTAGACTCACCAGGACCACCCCCTCCCAATAAGATCAATGCTTATTTAGTAATTCATTTTTTTGTGTATTTACGTCTAAGTATGTGGAAATGAGAGGACAACTTGTGGGGACTGGTTCTTTGCTATCATGTGTGTTTTGGAGCTCAAACTCAGGTTGTAAGGCTTAGTGCCCTTACCCACTAAACTATCTTGCCAGACCACACCTCACTTTAAGCATCTAGAATCTTACCAACACACTTTTATTTGTAATTTTTCTTTCTTTTTCAAACCATTTCTTTAGCACTAATGATGGTTCTTCATACTTAAAAGTCTCATACAGGTAAGGTAAAAATGTCCAGCAGGAAACCTGTGGCTGCTAGTTCAGTGTTCTCATTAACTCTCCGCAACTCAGATCCTTTAACTGGTGCTGCTCTCTTATAATCACTCACTAGTTCTGTATTGTAGAGACAGTTATTTTTTTCCCAAAGCAGCACAGATTACTTTGTCTTTAAAACCCATGCTTTTGTATCCTTATACACCCTGATATAATTTATAGTTTTCTCAAAGCTATTCAAAGTACACAAAATAAATTATTTGTTCTATTTTACAGTTTAATATAGATACTCTATTCTAAACACAGGACTAAAACTAAACTTTCCAAGCAAGTACCCTTAGTTGGGAATTGTAGTACTCACCTGTAATCCCAGAACTCAAGGACTGAAAATTTGATGCCAACTGGGCAACAAAGTGAGCATCATCCACACAACATAGCAAAACAAAAGTCTTTTTTTGGCTTGTTTTTGTTTTTCTAGACAGGGTTTCTCTGTGTAGTCCTGAAACTCACTTGGTAGACCAGGCTAGCCTTGAACTCAGAGATCTTCCTTGAACTCAGAGATCTTCCCACCTCTGCCTCCAAAATGCTAGGATTAAAGGTGTGCACCCCTTCCCCCAAGACACACACAGAGTTGGACAGTCTTGATCCCATCTTTTTCATCTTTGGACATGGTCTCTCTAATCATCTGTCTAACCCCACCTCAATCTTTAAGGACTCTGCTTTATTCACTGTGTTACAAGCTTGCCTTCATGATCACTATTACCTATTTTAATTTTATTTTTTCCATTTATATATTTTTATTTGCACTGGCATTTTGCCAACTTGTATGTCTTGTGATTACTATTTCACTGTGACTGTAACAGGCAGGAGTTAATGAGAACAAGTGGTGCAAAGACCAGCAAGGTTTGAATCTCCTCCTCTTCCATTTAACTAGCCTGTAGAACATGACAGGTTTTTTTTTTTTTTCCTTCCATTCCTCCTTAATCTGAAAAGTGTGAGGAAAAACAAAATGTACTTAATACAACTGTTTGAAGTATTGAGTGAGACGCAGGAATCTGGGACCAGTCCTGGGCAGACAGTTTGTGCTTACTTTCATCACCATTACTACTGCTACTAAATCATGACTTTTATCATACATTACACTAACACTCTACAAAGAACTCCACGCAATAGCTGGGGACTGTGCTGCTTGCCTTTAATTTCAATACTTGGGAAGCACAGTAGTAGATGGATCACTATGAGTTCTAGACTAGCAAAGGTTATTTAGTTAGACCTCCTTCTCCCAAGTACTACACACGTATATAAGAGTTACAAAGTTTTTCTTTCAGAACGTTTCAACTCAAAAACAAAACAAAACAAAACCTATAAAATCAAAGAGAAAAAAAAAATAACATCCAGAAGATAATTTTAAAAAATTTAAAAACTTGTACACAAAACATTAAATCTATACTTTCTTTTCTAAAATAGGGACCAAAATGATGGAATATATACAAGGTAGAAAATAATGTGACATAAAAATTCAGAGGGAAAAATAAATTCTGAAATTTTGAGTTCTGGGGATTAGGGGAACCTTTTAAGTTTGTAATTTTAAAGGAAGATATTAAACTTTTTCAATATGGAGACAATTTTCTTTTTTTTTTTTACTTTTATTCTGAGACAAGGTCTTGTATGCAGCCTTGTCAGATTGGAGCTTCTACACAGACTAGACTGGCCTTGAACTCACAGATCAGCCTTGCCTTTGCTTCCTGGCACAATGGGGTATGACAATGCCCAGGTTACACACACACACTTTCCCTTACACATTCTCTCCTTTTTTTTTTTGGGTGGGGGGTTTCAAGACAGGGTTTCTCTGTGTAGCCCTGGCTGTCCTGGAACTCACTCTGTAGACCAGGCTGGCCTCGAACTCAGAAATCCACCTGCCTCTGCCTCCCGAGTGCTGGGATTAAAGGTGTGCGCCACCACCACCCGGCTCTCTCTCTCCCTTTAAAAATTTTTTCTTTTAAACATGTTTCTATTGGAAATTGGGCTATGAAAGTGGTTGTCAACTAGCACAAACATGTGCATGTATTACAATGAATTCAAAGCCACTGCTATAGAGTCTATTTCTTCTTTCATACTAAAACCATAGAAATAAAACTATTTAAAACAGAATAAACTAAAAAATTAGTCCTACAGAACTATGATAAAACTGAAACTGCCTTAGTCATTATGGAAAGTTAGTTTTAGTTCCAGAAGTATTCAGAATCAAGTTCCAAGTGGTACACAGTTGATGTTAAATTATATACTATGACCTTTAAAGGGGAGATATTAGGATTAAAATTAAGACACAAAGCATGAATTCAGGGTGCTAAAAAGAAAATTCTGAGAGAAGTAACTGAAAAAATTTAAAAGGACATACTTAACCCAGACCATTCATCATCGATATAAGGTTGATTACGGCTAACATCCCACTGATAATCAGAAGTGGTAGACTGAGAAACTGGCTCAGCAGTAGATCCTTAAATGAAAAACGAATGCAATAAAATTAAAAATGGAACTTCCTAAGGATGGTTCATAACAAAAGTACTAAACTTTTCACATGGACTCTTTCTTATTTCTCCTAAAAGGAAAATTTAGACATAACAAAAGAGTTAAATTAAAAAGGAAAGTTAAATTGAGTATGATAATAACTTGATCTAATTCACCACCACCACCACTCCATAGCAATTAGAATCTGACTTGTTATCTGCAAATTTCAAAATGTTGAAAAAAGTTCCATTTTTCTTTTTAAAGGTTAAGCAGTAAAACAAAACAAAACAAAACAAAAATCTTAATACTAGATTTTTCAGGGTATCCATATATCCTTAGAACTCAGGAAAGCCATTAGAAAATGTTTGAGTTAGCTCAACTTTTAGGCCACAGAATGTTAAAGAAAGAGAATTAACCAGAGATGAGACAGAGAAACAAGAGTTGCTGGAAGTTTAGAGTTATGTTCAGATGCACTGAAAAGAAAAGAATACCATTTTCTAAGGTTTGCTATTGGAAAAGGTGGAATGAGAATAGGGGTTACAAGGTTTCTTAGGAACCCAATGAAGCAGTGGTGGTCCAATGTCCAAAACTTTTTACGCAAAAATCTGAAAATTGTTTTGGTGCATAAAAAGTCTATGAAAGTAAGGTCAAAACCCATTATTGCTCTATGGCTACAAATTAAATTTTAGAATGCAAAGTAAAGCATTCTATCAGGTGCACAGAGATACACACATACACTTGTTAGACCTTCTGAATCCAAATTTCAAGTGCGTTAAGAGTCCTTAGGTGACTCTGATAGTAACTTGGATTCAGAGCCAATGAAAGGAAAACTTATTAAAAAACATAGGTTCTTTGTTAGTTTAAATAAAACTAACAATCACTTCATTCCCTCATACACTTCCACTTAATTACCTAGATGAGACTGTTAGCATTTCACTAATGATTACTGTCTAAGTATATACTCAAAATAGTAAAATTTAGCACATCACCCTATGAATGTGGTAATATTTAGCATATTAGCCACTCAGGTTGCAGAAACATAACCTCATTATGCCAGTGGCTCCTACTGCTTTCCCTGAATGTATGTGTTGTATAGTCATCAAATGAAGGAAATGATGAACTTGTTCTCTGGAAATGAAATACAGTCAACAAGAAGAGGGGGTAGTAAACTGCATCTTGTAGGTCAATTCCAACCACGATTGGCCCATTAACCAAGAGGAATTTCATATTTTTAAGTGGCTGAAGAAAAGGTCAAATTAATAGTGTTTTGAAGTCAATATACTCATTTATCTTTGATCTCTGATTGCTTTCTTGTTATGGCAGAGCTGAGTTGATAGTTGTGGCAGTGAGAGTATGGCCCACCAAACCTAAACTATTTATTATTTGCTTTTACAGAATCTGCTAGCACCCTTTCTAGGCTACTGTTCCAGACAACATGAAATAACATCATTAATAAATGAAGTGCTTTGTGACTCAAGTAGAATAAATCAAAGTGCCTCCCTACTTATATAATATTTGATAAATATACGTAGCTTGTGTTGATTAATAAAAGACCTATCCATTTAAGTGATGCTGGATTGACAGTTTATAGTGTATATTCTAAATCAACAGGCTCTTAAAAGAGTTACTGTGTATATGCGTCCAAGAGAGGCTTATTTATAAATTCATAACAAGTAAAAGTGAATAGAAATATGCCAAATTGAACCAGAAGTTTGGCGGAATGTACTAGTAACAAGAGCATGTTCTAACCCAGCAGTTCTCAATCTGTAGGTTGTGACTCCTTTCACAGAGATCACCTAAGACCATAAGAAAACACAGATGTTTACATTGTGATTCATAACAGTCGCAAAATTACAGCTATATGAAGAAGCAATGAAAGTGATCTTATGGTTGGGAGTCATCACCGACTGTATTAAAGGGTTGTAGCATTAGGAAGGTTAAGAACTACTGTCCTAACCTAAAAGGAAGGCCTTCTAGGAGTATTTATATTAATAAATTCCTAGTGGTAGACCACAGACTCTGGCACATAAGGACTTAGATGTCCCCTACAATTTAAAGACCTTTGCCATTACATATATTAATTATATTGACAGCAATATACGGTGGTAATTAATTTTCTAAATAACAAGTGCTAAAATTAAACAAAAATGTTTTGGTTAACTGAACGAAAGACTGTTTTCACATACCAGAGACAGCAGAGTTAAGTGTGAGAGATGCAAAAGAAGCAGAGTTCTGTGGAGAGGCACTCATCCCCCTAGCCACACTAGACCAAGCAGCTGGCAAAATAAAGAACGTCACTTGCAACCTTCAATTTGCAAAGAACTTGAAAGATGTACAGATTTAAAACTATGATAGCAATATTTAAAGATGATTATCTTAAAAATGAGAACCCATAACAGAGCAATAGCTATTATTTACTGAGTGTCTACTATGTGGATGGCTCTTTTATACACTGAGTTCTAATCCTTACAGCAACCCTGCTAGGCCATTTTAGAGCTAGCAAATGATTTGCTAATACTTAGAAAACTACTTAGGTATAAATGTTTCAAGCCTATTCATTCCACTATACAATCATTTCTATCATAATTTAAGCAAGTACTTTACACTAGGCACCAAACTTGGTGTCTGACATTCATTACAATCAATTTAAATTACTTAAATATGACGTTCATTCAGGCTATATAACTAAATGTCCATAAACTCCTAATAGGTCTGTCTGAACTAGCCTATTCTCCTTCTACTGTACCATCCTATCTTTTGAATATTTTCAAGGTATTTCTCTGAAAACAGAATGACACTTTGGTCAGTAACAGGCTACATAAATATGTAGCCTATGAGACTTTCTGACCTAGTAACATTCTAGCTTCTTAGAGTGTATGTACATGCCGTGATGCCCACATAGCTACAAACCACACAGCATGCATTTTCTAGGGTGGCTTGTTACTCTCAGGAGCATATACACCTCCTCAATGACCCAGCACAAACTTAACACAGTTCTTTTTCAATTTCAATAAAATTTAAATCCAGCTAGGGAAGCTCATCTATTTAATTGCCTGCTTAATTTTATCTGTAACAATAATAACCAAATACTACCTAAACCCATGTTCTAGTAGCAAGACTATATAGCTTCTATAAGTAAACTAGAAATATATTACAAGGTCAGTGTTCCACATTATTCCATAAAACCTGATCATTTCTTTTACGAAATATGAGAGAGAGGATGCTTTTAGTATGGCAATTTTGTTCTTTCTGTTGAAAATGATGATAGGAATTTAGAGGTTATCTTTCTAGACAGATTTTTTTTTTAATTTCTAAATAGTGTTTGAACATTACAGGTGAGGAGAACAACTTGAAACAGATTAGTGAATGAATCACAGTTTGCTTGTTAAGAGATTAGTTTTTTTAAAAGGATGGAAAGCTAATATAGCTAAGGAAGACATTGTGGGTTTTTTGTTGTTTTTCCTCACAAACTAAGAACTTCCTAGTATCCAATATTACCCAAATTAAGCTAAAGTTATAAAAAATACCTGCCATAAGTACAACAGAAAAAAACTGCATGTTCAAGTGTGGCATGGTGGCACACAACTGTATTTCCAACATTTAGCAGGCAGATTGATTGAATTGTCCATGAATTCCAAGCCAGCCTTGTAAACAGTTTTCTAGGCTAGATAGGGCTGCATAGTGACTCTGACTAAATAAAAACAAAACACCCGAAAAATAAAAGAAAAAAATTATCTACTATTATGAGGAATTATAATTCAATTTTAAAAAAACCAAAAATGAAGCATAAGGCCATTAGACAAACGGCAAAGAACATGAATAGATAACTGGTGAAAGATGTAGAAACGACCAATTAATTCATGGAAAAATACCTAACTGTATCAGTGATTTAAAAGTTAACCAAAATAATTTATGCATTCATGCTTATCAAAACAGAAGACTAAAAAAAATAAAAAATAAAAGTTCAACCTTGGTAAGTAAGAATATGATAAACAGTCACTTACACTGAAGATGAAAGTATGAGAGTAAATGACAATACAATAAACATATCCATGTTTTCTTTAACCCAAGTTATTCCCAAGAATCTATCCTAAAAAATACACTAAATGTAATATCACCTAAAATAGTTTTTAAAAAGTCAGCTACAGAACGATACAGAAATAGGTAAGTAAACTATAATATATTTAAATAATATAGCAGACAATGCCATTAAGTAAACATGGTTATAAGAACACGTAAAACCTTTCTTATCAATTTGGGGATGGGAAAAAGCAACAAAAATGCATACTCAATTTAGTTTATTGTAAAAACCAAAAATTATACACAGTAGAGGAAGCAAAAGAAATACAAAAACTGATTGCAGCTGTCACTGGGTGGTGTGATAATACGTTTCCCCTTATTTATTTGCAATTTTCCACATTTAATAAAGATTTCTTTTTCTATAATGTCTAAGTATGTGTTGCTTAAAAGACTACGCCTTTCAGTAGAAACAAGCTGCCCAACTACTAATTTTTACCATTAAAATCCAGGGGAAAATTATAATATGCATTTACAGACTATAAAATGGATGCTATAAACTTCTCTAGTACTTTTATTTACTATTTTTATTTAGACTCAAACTGCTAAAATCTACCAAGTCTACTTATACAATACATTTATGACGTCACTGGCTGGAGAGATGGCTCGGTGGTTAAGAGCACACTGACTGCTCTTGTAGAGGTCCTGAGTTCAATTCCCAGCAACCACATGGTGACTCACCAGCATCACCCTCTTCTGGTATGTCTGAAGACAGGTACAATGTACTCATATAAATAAACCTATCTATCTATCTATCTATCTATCTATCTATCTATCTATCTATCTATCTATCTATCTCATACAACTTATCAATTAGCCACACTGACGAGCAAATGTGAAAGCACTACACAAAAATGATGTTAGTCATGTTAGTTGCTCTACTTTGTGCAAAGGATCTGAGAAAGTTAATTATCACTATGACTTCTGCATGGCAGGACTAGTATTTCTTTGTCTCTCTCTGTCACTCTATTTTTTCTATTCTCTAACTCATTATGCCACTGAGAATAACCTCCTGATCCTCCAGCCCAGGACTGCAGGAATGCACTAACATGCCCAGTTTAGGAATATTTATATTAATGGCTTGATTTCCTTCACAATTTCTGAAAAATTCAAGCTGTATCAGATTACCAACTTTAGATGAACTTAATTTTTTTCTAAAAGTTCTTACCAATGCCAGAAAATATTGAGCGATCACTCCAATTCCTGCCCCAGTCTTTCCCATTTGCATTAGTATCACCAGTGTCTTGAGTCCAAGCAGACGGCTCTGTTTTCCTCTTGCCTGCAGAAGCAGGTGGAACAGAGTTCCACTTCTCCTCACCTGCACTCAATGGTGAGGAGAGTTTTACAGACTTTTCACTCCAGCCTCCTCCATTGACAGTAAGATTTTCATTCAACCCTGAAGAAACTTAAAGAAAAGAAAGTAAAGATTAAAAACAGATATATTATCTCTTGTTAAAAATGGAGTATTTTCATATTTCTATGATAACTTATCAGTACATAGTACTTTTTCTTTCCCTCTTAGTGTCCTTTAAGTAGCCTGAGTATAAAAGCGTAAGCTATGCAGTTCTGACATGGTTTTAAAGTTTGTTCTCACTATGTAGCTTACATTAGTCTCATGGTTCTCCTACTCTGCCTCGATATGCTGGGATTACAAGCATGCACCACAATGCCTGGCTAACAGACTTCTTAATTTAAAAGTCAACAAAGAGTTTAAAATGTAACATGCATACTAGTGATGTTCTCTCAATGGCAAAATGACAAACTGAAAACATATCTAGTATACACTGAATACTCACCCACTATGAAAATGAAGACTTCTCCTTAGCTACATGATTTTTATTTAGATATACTTTTGTATATTCTATTACATATAATGACTGCACATTAGAACCAAATGAGAAATTTAAATAGACTCTATGGCATCAGCCAAGAACAAATGAATGTTAGGACAGAGTCCAGGACTCAGGTATGTGTGTGTGTGGGGAGGGGGGGAGAGGCGAAGGGGGGAGAGGCAAGGAGACGAGGAGAGAGAATGCGAGCGCGCACACAGTTCTTAGATTGAGACGTGAGGCATGAGGGCATAGAGCAGGCAATGGTGTTAAGAACAAGGATGAAATGAGCAGGTGCTTTACTTTTCCTGTGACACTTTTGCTTTTAGGCTGGTATACTGCTTTCCCTGCAGTGATGAGGAATGAGCGAATTAGGTTAATTTTGTTTGTGAAGCACCCAATAACCTTAAACTACATTCATTTATTGTAACATATTTGATACCACCAAGGAAGCAGTTAACATTTATAAGAACTATATTTTCTTAAGATATAAAGTATTTTATCCCAAACATGCTCATATTACATTCATGTCCAACAAAGATCCTTCTCTCCTGGCTTAAATGATGCAAAAGCAAAATTATACATAAATTATTACTGAAAGGTTTTATATATGTGAGGAGGAGAAGCTACAACATACCAAACCCTCGAGTGTGAATGATCTTCCTTTTCCATTTTTCAAATTCTCTGGACTATGATCATATTAATTTAGTAATTAAAAATAACTTTAATCCCTTTTCTTTCCTTTAACATCATTCATGTAAGAAAAGAGATATGTATCCAAGTTTCTATTTTGATGGGCCTTCAGGTTAAGTGTCATGTAATTTCTCTCACCCTGAAGTGTAGAATCTCCTTTTCCAGACTTAAAGTTGCTAACTTGAACATTTAGATGAGAATCACCTGGGTTGAAATAGAAATAAAATTTATTTAATACTAAACAGGCCACTATGCACATTAAATCAGGTGGAACATACAATTGTGATCTACAATAAACTGCTCCTTCAAGTGCCAGTTTTGACATTGGAAAAAGTGATTTTACAACATATTTCACATGTCCACAGGGAACTGAGTCTTTAGTTACCACAGTTTTAGTCAATTAAAATGTCAAATCCTAGAAAATTGCCCAAATATAAGTAGGGACTTTTATTCTGTAATACTTCTGAATTCTGAAGGTTCTTTTAGGTAGGAATTGAAAAATTGAACTCTGAAATTGGATTCAACTTTGCCTCATCTTAACATGAACTGCCTTTTCAATAATCCCAGAAGCAAGCACACCAATTTAAGAAAACCGTTGCCACATTTGGGATTATAACATAGGAAATATGGTTAAAAAGTGAGAATATATGTTTTAACATAAAAATTCCAATTCTCTGGCACAAAACAAGCACAATTATCACAATGTACAAAAACTAAACCAAACTAACTCAAATCCCATGAAACACAAGGTGCAAGCAAGGAAGGCATGCCCAAATCAGTAAGAGTCACCAACAAGAATACTCAAAGCACCGATAATACATGATAGCAGAGTGGATAAAGAAAGCTCCTTACTGTACTATGGCAAGAAGTTCAGTAAGCTGGCAGGCAAAACAAACAAACAAACAAACAAACAAAACAAAACCAAAACCACCAAAAAAACCAAAAAACAAAACCAACAACAACAACAAAACCAAGGTTAAGAAGGTGATCTGCTAACAACTGAAGGATAGAAAAAAACAGGGAGGTCACTAACAAAAGACAAAGTAAATAAACTAGTGCTTCCATGAAGTAGCTATCAATATTGGATTGCTTACACATCTGAGTACTTGGTAGGAAGGACATTGGCTCAATCATCTTTGATATTCTGGTTTAGCTTTATTAATACCTATAAAATTGCCAGAAACAAAACAAAAAACTGGGGTGGATAGACAGAACCTGCACTAACCAGAACATGCTTGTTTCATCTTGGAATGAAAGTGCCCAACATGCAGAATGGTGGTAAATATCCCATTTAATCAGTGTCTTATCCACTGTAAGAGATGGAGATGTAAGAGGATTGGGGCAAAGCAACACACATAAGGAAAAGAAGCAACAGCATTCTCTAATGTGACTCAAGGCAGAAAGGCAAACTTTAATTTAATAAGCCATTCATTAGGCAATAGTAACAACACTGCTGTTATGAGGTAAACCAGGATGTGGTTCACAATACTCTCATGAAGAAGGGTATATCAGCACAAAGTTAGCAGATCAAAAAGATTGTGACATATTTTGTACATCTGACTTAAAGGAGTTTGGTTTGATGTACCACTCTTATGTTCCACTAATATACCTTTATTCTTCTTGGAACCAACAGGAAATGATGCAGTTGTAAGTTGCTCGGTGGTAACTGTGATGGTATTTTCTATCCCAGGGATAGTTGAATCCAATGAACCAGAATCAGTCAGCACTTTATCACGTTTACGCTGTTGTCGTTTCTCTCTGTGACTAATTTTAGTTTCCCAGGCTCCTGACATAGCCCGAGAAAAAAGATGTTATTCAGTAAGGGGAAGACAAAAAAGTTGTAGGTTTGAGGGGAAAAAAAAATGGGTGGGACAGATATAATAAATTTAGATATTAAGCTAAAAACAAAGAGTGCTGATTATATAAATTTACCCTAGGAATGTATTCTAATCTCATGTTATTTTAGGCAAAAACTATTTTTACTATACTTTTGTTTTTAACAAAATGTGTCAACTATGGTTTAGAAAAAGTGACAGAAAAAAATTGTCTCTTATCTTTTTATCCTGTTGGGTAGAAGTGACAGGAGAGTTATATCTGCTCTTGATACATGAGTTTAGGGTGTGATAATAAATGGCTTATTCAAGAATTTTGCACACAGCCTTTTAGGAATGGTATATTTAAGAAAAAATGGGAAACTCCAAACCATATTTTTAGGAAACAAAGACAAGATGAATGGCCTCTCAGTTGCTCACAATACTGAGCAAACATAAGTTTAAAGGATAAGTAAGCACTAGTGGATGCTTAAATGACTTAGATAAGCAAAGTGTTTTGTAACAACATCACAGATCTTTATGATAAGATTTATGGCAATTAAAGAGCTACATACAAGATTAAGTGAAACAAATGCAGCTTTTATACCACACACCTCAGTTTAAAAAATTAAATATTTTCTATAGGCCTTTCCCTTGCTCAAATACCTTCATCAACTTCCTTTCCATCATGGCGTGAACTGTTTTGCACTGCTTTAGCATCTGACTTTGATTTCTTCTTATTTTTCTTTGACTGAAATAGTAAAATAGAATATTACTTATTATTTTGTTATGTTTTTGAAAAGGTAGGAGCCAGTAAAATACATAATGAAATGTATGAAACTGACAACTAAGATATTTCAGTTTGATTAAAAAAAAAACAGCATATTAAGTGGCAATGATGTTATAATAATTGAGTGGTTACTTTATGCTAATTACAGTAATTTTCTAGTTTATTCTTTAAAAATACAGAAGGTATCACTCCATTTTAGGTATGAAAAAACAAAGGTAGAACAGGCTCTACTGTGTCACATTAAATTAATAAGTAAAGCTAAAATTCAAGGTTTGCTTGGCTCCAAAACCACACTATGTTCTTATACATAATGTGTCCTACATCATAGTAGAAATATAATACTGTAATATGCTGCTCTAGGAGCAATGAAATTAAAATCCACCATCATTTTCAGAAGGAAAATTATGTACCAAATAGTGGCTTGATTGCACACGGTATATTGCTGATAAACCCTATGCACTACTAATCAATGAATCAACTGTATAAAGCAGAGAGTATTTGGTCAGTTTCAAAGCAACATGGAAACAAAAAACCCCTCAGATTGCATATGCGTAACAGTTCAATAAAGATAAAAATACCAACACAAGATATGCAAATTCTGGAACAGTCTTCCAACTCCTTACTGCTGATTTTACATTCTCCTTTCAAAAGTGTGCCAAAAACTCAACATGATTTCTGTATTTAGATAGCTATCTCCAGAAAAGAAATAACATTAACAATATAGTAGGGTTTTGGTGCTGTTGTTTCACTGAGATAAGGATGACCTCAAATTCCTAAGCCTCCTGTCTCTTCCTCTGGAGTGTTGGAACTATAGTATCAACATACTTGGATTATAGCTGTGCACCACCACACCCAGCCTTAAACATCTGGTTATATATGCATATATTGTAGTCACTACTCGTTTAGTTACTAACTGAGATTAGCTATTCACTCATTACTGTGCACCATCTTTAAGTTACAGGTTACATTTTAATTATAAGATATTCATAATATGAATAAACAATAGTACAGTTTGAGTGAAGTGAATAGATGGTATCAAAATGCTTTCCCTATCTATGAGAAACTTGCCAACAGATTCAGACTTATTCACTTGTGAGTTTCCCATCTATGGTGTCAACTAACTTCATATTGGAAATACATGGAATAAAATGCTTCTGTATACAAGTACAGACTTTTTGGATAAGCATTTCCTGAACAATACAGTATGAAAACTATTTATATAGCACAATTAGGTACTATAAATAATTTAGACACCACTAAAAGTATGGGAGGATATATGTGATAGATATTACAAACATGGTAACATTTTATAATATAAGAGATTTAAGCATCTAAAAAATATTGGTATCTGCATGGAGTTCAGGTGCCAATACTATACAGAGATTGAAGGATAACTGTATTCTTAAATGGTATGTATTTTGAAATGTAGTAAAAGCTGTTTTTGACATGACAATCTATTTTTAAAAATTACCTTTTTTTTTACAACTTGTTTTTTTCTCTTCATAATTGATCTGTATAATATACAATAATAAAGAGTTTTTATTATTGTATATTATGTTTAGCATACTGCTTTATTATATTTACCTGGTTGTTCACATCTACTTTTTAAAAGAATCCAACTTTTAAAAGAATTCAGTGGCTTTCATATATCCAAAGTACTTGTAAAACTACCATCATAATTTTCTTTAGCCCTCCATAGAAACCTTGACTCCATTGGCTCACCTCCTTGGCTCACCTTCTTCACGGAACACTTATCTGTCTTTGCCATTATGAGTCAAAAGAAACGGTAACACATTGAATAGCTATTACAGTCTAGAGCAGGAACAACAAACTTAGTATATTAAAGACTAGAGAAATCAGTGTTTTAGAGCCAGATGGCTTTGTGACAACCATATCTCTAGTATTAACTCAGGCTTACACAACATAAAAATGAACTGATGGACTGTTCTGATAAAACTTTCTTTATTCATAAAAAAAAAAAAATCAAGATAGATTTGGGAGTTTGCTGTTTTCAGTTTAGAAAAGAGCTGCCTAGCAGAAATATAATGTAAGCTATTATAAATGTAAATTACATTTATAACAAACAATTTATAAAGCTAAACACACAATATATCTAAAATAATATCATCCAATGAGTAATCTATTAAAAATGTTTTAGTGAATTCACAATTAATGAGATAGAATGAAAAGAGGGTAATCTGTATCTTTGATATTTGGAGTAATCATGGCTAATCTTGTCTGACACACAGTGTATACAGTATACCAAATGTCAATTCAGATTAGATGTATTTTGAGTAGTCAATATCTACATGTGGCTAGTGGTTGCTATAATCAATAGTATAGCTCTCCAGAAACTATAATAAGTACCCCTCCTTTACAGATAAGGAATTTGAGGTTATAAGGAGATTACAGAATCTGTCTACAATCATGAATTATTAAGTGTGAAACTAAATCCAGACTTACAAATACCACTAGTTTAACTAATTGCCAAAGCACATTTAGTAATAATAATTAAATATAAAATGATTTGTGTAGTATAAGAATCAAGGTGGTGGTGAGCTAAAAAGCTTCTTTTCTGCTGTCTTGCTTGCAAATGCTAGAAGGTACTACATAGGCTGCTGGGGGGAGAATGGTCATCAGCAGTCTGACTCAGCTGTGGATCCTGCATACTGCTCTCATCTGCCAGACAAGATGTGCTCAGATGTGCAATAGAGAACAACTGGTGTGGGAGTAACCAATCACTTGGACTGGATCTGAGACCTGCTCCACAGGAGGGAATTCACATTTACTACTGTAAACGGTAAAAAGGGAGTGGCGAGGATGAGGTCATATGCTTTAGTGAGGAAGCTACTATGGTTCTGTTAAAGAAACATGATGTAACCCTCAACGTGCTTTTTAAATATTTGTTTATACCAGAAGATTAGTGCTGCTGTCAGTTTTGGTAGAGAAGCTTCTTTTTTCAATGGACAGTGGTTATTTCAGAGATTCAAAATTGTTTAAAATACTGGAAATAAATGACTTAAATGCTCAGCCCTATATGGGACATCTGTGTCATTCCCTTAGGGACTTAAAGAACACCACGGAAGAGGATTTTTTGGAAAGGATACAAGAGCCAAAAGATGAGGTGGAGCGATACTTTCCAGGCAGGATATGACCATTACACTCTTTAACCCCCAGTATCTGCACAAAGCCTGTGCAAGATGAGGCTTGTCAACATTCCATCATGGAGTGAGGAGATGTTTACAAGGCCCTGTCCCTCTCTGAATTACTATAGTTCATGAGTTTTTTGGGGTGGGTAATTTTCTTCAGTCATGTAGCCACTGGATACCTACATTACTATAAATGCCCTATCCATGCCCCTCTGAGCTTAAACTGAGTGGCATACATCCACCAAGACAGAAACTGAAAAATAAAGAAATATAGATTATACTCACTCCAGTATGCTAAGGTTTGTCAGTAAATACCACCTTGGTCGGACTAGACTTAAATATGCTTTAACTTTACCAGTACCTATAAAAATTCTTTTTTTTTTTTTAACCAAAAATGTACAGTCAGATGAGACTGAATAATATACAAGTAAAACTTTAAGATAAACATGCAAGACAGCTATTTCCTTACTGACAAAGACTTCTTTGTGTATAGAGGACATTCACATTATATGAACATTCTGCCCCTGATCTCTAGCCCTCACTCTGCACACAGGCAAGCCTTAAACTTGTGATCTTCTTGTCTTGGCCTCTCTTGTGGCTGGGATAACAGGCTCATGGGTCATAAGGTCTCATTTACTGTCTTATACTTTTAAAGAGCTTTACTGAAGCTAAGACCTCTTGGGGAAACCTTTGACACAATAGCTTAGCTTTCTTGTAACTATGATCCCAATCATATTTTGTTGTCATATTCCACCATGAAATCAGGTAGATTATTAAATCTTGTCCAAACAATGTAACAGTAAAAATCTCAAAAAATTTGATTTAAAAACATAAATGATCTGAATAAGCATTTCTGAAAAGAAGACATGGCCAATAAGTGGATGAAGTAATGAGCAACATCCTAATCATCAGGGAAATGTGACTCAAAACTGTAGTGAGATATTACTTTTCCTCAGTTAGAATGGCTCTTATCAATTAAACAAAACAAGGGCTGGTGTGGGAAAACTCTGCTAATTAAGGTCGAAGTCTACCATTGATGAGATAGTCTTCTAGGGCTTGGGGGATTCCCTTCAGGGTTTCTCCTTCTCTGGAGAATTCTAAACTCACATCTGCCTCAAGCTGAGGAATGTCACATACCCTCAGTTAGATTACAGGATCCATTTCCTTTCTTCCAATAAGAACCTGTTCAGTCAACACCTGAGATTCCTGAAATGCTTCTCCATCCTAATGAAGCATCCCAAGTACCCTAAGCCCATTGACATTTGCCCAAAAGTCCCCCAAAACTTTATGAGCATTAAATCACATTAAGTAAAGCTATCAGCTGCTTCCTGATAGCTGGTGCTGGTGCGGTCATTTATGAATCAGCCGTCTACCCTCGAGGGCAGGGAGATGGTTCAGTAGATCTAAGTGCTTGTAATGCAAGCCCAATATCTGATTTTTTTTATCCAGAACCTGCAGAACCCATTTAATGTAAGTGGCTGGAATGCATCTGCAATCTCAGAATACACAGAGGAATAAGGAAGAAACAGGAGTATACAGGGCAGCAGAATCAAGAGGGACTCTGCTTCAACAAGATATGACAGAATCAATTCTCAAATAATGTTTCTGACCTCCACACACATTGTAGCACACACGTGCCTACTCACGTACACGTACACACACCCACACACCCACACCCACCCATGATGGTGAGCTATAAACAAAGAAACTCTACTGTTGGGAAATGTAAATTGATACAGCCAGTGCCACAAACATTATGGAAGGTCCTCAAAAATAAAAACAGACCTACTGTATAATTTAGCAACACTCTGA